ATGCAGTATCAAACCAATAATTTCATACTAGGTAAGTAATAGGCATCTGCTGCTCTCACCAATAAAGTGGTCGACAGCTCCGGTAACAATTTAATGATGAGTTTATGGGAACTGTAGTCCAAAATGAATCCTGGAATAGCTTTTCAGTGTTCCATTGTATGTGTGTGTGATGATTGTCTACATTCCCCAAAATATTCACATTTAGCATTTCACAGAATTTTATCAGAGAAATATTAGAGCACACAATTTACATTTAAATCCCCAAGGTATAACAGAACATACAAAGAAAAGATATAATTGTATGTATGTATCTATGAAAATTTATATGGTCATCCACTCATTCTCAGTGATTCTGAGCAGTTTACAGAAATAAAAATCCAATATACCAACAATTAAACAATAACACCCTACACGCTGGTGACAACAATGAATCAGATGGTTGTCATCTTTGGCTCTGAAAATGCCAGCGGGCTATCAGAGCTGGAGTCTTTGTTTTAAAAATGGGGAGAAGTTTGGGATTTCTGATTAATTAGGAAAAAGTGGTAAGAGAAAGCTGGGATCTGAAAGATGGCCATTTTCAACTTAGTATTTTTCAATAGATTTTTGAGCAGAGTTACTTTTGGCAGGAATCAGTGTTCAGAATTCAGGACTTGTTTCTTCTCAGGAAGCCACACAACATGGCTGGGACTTTGTTTACTAGCCAGTTAGGATGATTGACCAATACTGATTTTAACAAATTATTTCTATGTATGGTAAGTGAATTCAAACAGTTGCATCTCATTTTCCACGATTCTGACCAATGTAAATCTATTTTTTTCTGTTTCTCAAATCTATCTATTTCCCTCACTCACTTTGGCATACTTCTCACAGCAACAGATAAAAGCATTGCTTTTGAGCTGGGAAATCTCCTTACCTCCCCAAAAGGGAATTAAAAAATATGAATAAATTAGCTAAAGTTGACAAACTAGAAATTATGAAGAAATCAGAGTACTGTCACTTTATTGTTTGCTCCCTCCCTCCCTCCCTCTCTCTCTCTCTCCCTGTATGCATGCACATCTGCTGATGAGTGTAACAGATCAAAAGACAACAACAAAGGGTTTTTATATATTATCAGCAAATGCAATTTTTATTCAGATGTGGATCATCAACTGTTGAGTGGTCAAGTCCTTTCATTTGCAAGTACGAAGAATGCAACATTTATATCAATCGATGTAGCATATTTAGGATATTTATAATATTTAATATCATTTGAATTATTGAAATATTTAATAGTTAGGATTGCATCCTTAATAGGGTATTTGTGAACATGAGGTGGCCATTTGATTTGATTACCATTTCATCTTGTAAAAATATATTTTATTCCAATACCATTTTGCATTTATGTTGTCCTGCGGGTTGTAGGCACATTAATTGCACATGTTCTTTAAAACAGATATGTATAAATTTCCAGTTGTGATTGGATATTTTGTTAAACTATCAGAGTTTCTTTGGAGCACACGTTCACTTGTTAGAGGGCACAATGACTCTTAATAGATAGATAAAGATGAACAATGGAGCATGCTAACTAAAAATTAAGAAAATTAATTATTTTGCAACACTGAATAATCCATAAAGTATTCATGATCATTTGAAATGAATGCAGTATAAGTTGGGTGAGACTTGACATCTAGTTTTTCTTGATATTTGTGATTAAAGTTAACAGATTAAATTAAAAAAATAGTGTCATTCATTCAATAACTCCAATCATGATGGAAATGCTACATATGCATTCCCTAAATACACTAGTTAACTTGGCCATTCCCTTTCCTTTGGGTGATGTACTGAAATTAGGTTCATTTGTTAAATGGTTTAGGAAAAAAACTATCTTGTTGGAGATGTCTCTATTTCATCTCATCTTGTATTCTGTTTTTAACTCTATGCCTGAAATTGCCCAGCCAGAAGATAAAAGGGATTGCCATCCTGTCCTTGCCACCAGCGCCTGACTCTCTGGTCTGCCATTTCCGAATGCCAAAAAAGCTACTTCGTTATGAAGTTTGATAGGCTTACTTTTTAAAAATTGTCTTAGATGTTGTCCATTATTGAAACTCATGGTGAAGAATTCCCTCCATGTGAGATCGGTTTGGAATAGAAAGGGAGAAAATATTCTCTGTCCCTAATATTAATCATTGCATAAACTGATCAGCTTCTCTTTTTCTTTCTCTCTCAGTTGTAGTTCTACTACAGAAAACTGAAATAAAAGCTCACTAAAATAGGAGACCTTAATAAAATCACTAATAGGAGAAAAACGAGTTTTTGCAGTGAACAATCCTCTGCAAATTGCTGCAGAAAGTATGTTGTACATTGGCTAAGTGCAGAACTCCCTCAAGTCTACCAAAATTTGCCTATTGAACATAAATAGCAATAGCATCTAGACATTTATTTATTTATTTATTGGTTCGATTTATATGTCGCCCTTCTCCGGAGACTCAGGGCGGCTTACAATGCTTTTAAGCAATAGCCTTCATACTTTTGTATATACTTGCTTAGTAGGGCTTTCGCCCCCCCCCCCAAGCGGTGTTCTTTTTTATACAAAGTCAGCTTATTGCCCCCACAATCCGGGTCCTCATTTTACCTACCTCGGAAGGATGGAAGGCTGAGTCAATCTTGAGCCTGGTGAGATTTGAACTCTCAGTAATTGCAGGCAGCTGGCAGCTAAGTGCTACTTTAACAGCACTTTAGTCCTCTGCACCACCAAGGCTCCTAATATACTGCTTCACAGTGCTTTACAGCCCTCTCTAAGCGGTTTACAGAGTCAGCATATTGCCCCCAACAATCTGGCTCCTCCTTTTACCGACCTCAGAAGGATGGAAGGCTGAGTCAACCTTGAGCCGGTGAGAATTGAACTGCTGGCAGTCGGCAGAATTAGCCTGCAATACTGTGCCACTGTGCCACTAAATGGTAGTTTTGACAAGAGGAGTCTCAGTAATAATGAGCATGAAGTTAATCCAGCTTTCTCCAGTCTAGAGCATCTGAACTATAGCATTATATCGGTTTAGAATTGTGGAAACTGCAGTCTCAACATATCCTCAAGGCACCAGGTTAAGGAAGACTGTATTAATAAGATGGCTTGAAGCATCAGACCGGCAGGTAGTGGTGGTCCTGCTCCAGAGAGACTGGAAAGTTTGATGGGGGCCAACAGAGACTGAATCCTGATGAAATATCTGGGAATTCAGAAGCTCCTGAGTCCAGAAATAGTACATCCTTGAAAAAGAGGTAGAGTCTGAGTTAAAGGGATCTTTTTATAATTCCATTTTTATATGTATTCTATGCAGGAGTGAAATCCAGCAGGTTCTGACAGGTTCTGGAGAACCGGTAGTGGAAATTTTGAGCAGTTCAGAGAACCGGCAAATGCCACCTCTGGCTGGCCCCAGAGTGGGGTGGGAATGGAGATTTTGCATTATCCTTCCCCTGGAGTGGGGAGAGAATGGGGATTTTTCAGTATCCTTCCCCTGCCACGCCCACCAAGACACGCCCACAGAACCTGTAGTAAAAACATTTGGATTTCACCACTGATTCTATGGCTTTTCTGGTTCAGGAGAATTTGTTCACAGTCACTCATACCCTGTCACTTCATGGATGACTGCAGAGCACTCTATGTAGAGCCGCCCTTAAAGACCATGTAGAACTTTCAGTCAGTGCATCAATTCAGGATACTGGTTGCCACCTTTAAAGCCCCAAATGGCTAAAGGCTAAGCCTTAAATGCATACTTCTGGGACCACCTCCCCTAAATTAAATCTATCAGTCCAGAAAGATTTGGTAGAGTGGGGAGAGAGTTCCACCATTAAGGGAATGCTATCTCATGTTATCCCCCGCTCCTTTGGAACAGCCTGCCCCCAGATATCTGGACCATAAATTTGGTTTTTGTAACTTTTTGGGAGAGCCATTAAGACATGGCTATTTGGAAAGGCATTTGGGGATGAAGAAAAATAAATTACCCTTGAACAGTAGTGTATCAAATAAGTTGAATTATAACTGTATTAACTATGTTTTTGTTTTAGTACTAGTGTACTGATACTTTGTCCTTGGAAATGGAGGATCATATAGGTAAAAGAAATGAAGTAGAATTAAAAATGAAATAAATTCAGACCAACCCAGATTATTTTAATATGTTCCGGAGAGCTGAAATCTACTCCTAACTCCTTTTCAGATTTCAGGCGATCTATTGATTTCTGAGACTGATGTCTGTGGCTAGTATGAAAGAGGTCCAAAAAAATTGAGGAAGAAATTTGTTTAGGCTATCATCTCTGGGCTACAAAACTCCAGACAGCTGCTAGGTGGCAGAAGAGTCAGATTTTTCTGAATCTCTTTGCTGCCATCCACAGTAGTAATTGTCTTGAATTTTGCAGCCCATATATTGTAGTCCTGGATATTTTGAAAGAGCGTTGACTGTATTTTTCTTCTGATAATGGGTTCCCTTCCAGGTTTGAATCTGAAGTTGGCAGAATCCAATTGCTGGCATGCTCTTTGTGCAATTATATTAGCTGTCCGTTTGTCTCAGTGCCTACTAGATATTGTGACATGGAAGGAGGAAGGGATAAGGAGCAGCTCTAATATGCACCTGCTTCCCCCCCCCTTCCATGGAACTGGAGCTGCAGCATGTCAGATAACCCTGGCGCGTGATGGGTAGAAATCACTTTTGATAGCATTTTTTCAAGGTCACAATTGGCGCACAAGAATGACCTTGGAAACTTGCGGGCAACCAACGGAGCCGCTCCTGTGGTTGGAATTAGAAACGGGCTCCAGCTCTTTTGGATGCAGCATCGTCGGTGTTTGGGGATGGGGATGCGTCGCTTTGCCAGCCCTGGCCTGTAGGATTGCAAAGCGCGTCAGGATGGGCAGCATCACGGCTTGAAGCTGCCTGCTTGGATGGCGGGAGTTTGGCGGCGGCGGCGGCGCCGAGGCTCCTCCTCCTCCTCCTCCTCCTCCTCCTCCGCCAAGTCAACCCTCTCTTACCTTTCTCCGCCCTGCGGTCCTGCTTCGCAGCAGTGGCCCTGTGCGGAGCGAGGACCGGAGCCTGCCACCGCCGCCGCCTCTCGAGGGCGAGCAGGAGCCATGTGACTCGCCGGTGAGCCGGGGCGTGCGACTGCCTCCTGCTTCAGAGCTACCTGATCCGAATACTAAGCGGCGGCAGCAGCAGCAGCGAGTGGTTCGGGCGCCGCTGCGGCCGGGGGCTGCCGGGGGGTGGTGGTGTCGAGGGAGGCGCGTCGCCAGCCGATCCGAGCGCCTCAGCTCGCCCGTTCCCAAGGCGCCGAAGATGGAGATGAAAGATCAAGGCGCTCAGATGGAGCCTCTGCTGCCCACGGTGAGGAGCCGAGGCGGGGAGAGAGCCCTGGGCGAGCCTGTGCCGCAAAGCCAACTCGTGGGAAGGGGAGAAGGGGGGGGGGCGAGAGACGTGCCTTGGCTGCTTTGCGGGTTCCGGGCACCGGGAGGGTTGAGTCGGGGGTGCGTGCGTGGGTGGATAGGGAAGCCTTCGACACGCTCGGCCGCCGCGGGGGTCTCCATCCGCGGTGGGCTCCCAAGCGGCAGCGCCGGAGCGCACGGGTTCAAGACGCGCGCGACCCCGGGGTTTCTCCCGGCCTCCTCCTGTGGCTGGCGAGAGTGGGCTGCGGGGGCGGGGGGGAAAGGGGGAGGCGAGAGGCCTGTGGCCTCCAAGCGCGGGGGTCGCGCCTTGGATGGAAGAGGGAGACCCCCGGAGTTGCCCAGCGGCGCTCCTCGGGGGCCCTGCCTGCACCTGATCTGCTTCGGAGATGCTCCATTCGCGCATTGGCTCTTCCCGGAGACCGAGGATTGGGCGAGGGGTGACGATCTGTGCCTGGCCCCCACCGGACCTCGCCAGGCACGCCAGAATGGTCCATGTGGCTGATTTGTCCCAGATCAGTGGTTTTGCTTCCATGTGCACCTGCGTGGGCAAGTTACCTGATTCTGTCCTTGTGCAGACACAGGACACGCACACACACACATACAGACATACAGAGATGGAATGGGGGAGAGCTGTCTTTTATATACCCAGACACGTATTCTTGCAGCAATCTTGCTCTTGCACATGGATGCAGAATGGCTGGGAAAGGGGCTGCTTTACAAACATGCACTCACTTGTTGGGTTTTTTTGGGGTGGGGGGGTAGGGGGGTGTTTCTTAGAGCAAATCTTTCACATCTGTTCTCTCTCTCTCTCTCTCTCTCTCTCTCTCTCTCTCTCTCTCTCTCTCTCTCTCATGATATATGGGTCCTCTCCCAGAGTTAGCTAGGCTTGTTGACATCCTCTCTTGCCTGATTGAACAAAATTTCATTTTCTGCCTGACATAGCATGTATGCATACATATATTTCCACAGAGGGCTGACATGTGGGTTTTTCTGAAGCACATGTCTGTCTTTTGGGACCTCTTAGGAGCCAATCCCAACAGCCACATTCAGTAACCTTGCCAGAGTGAGAAGATCCTAGACAACATGGCCTTTGGGATCCCACTTTTCCTTCCTTCCATCCTTGGAATTCCATCTTTCCTTCTGGGAGAAAAGGAAGGAAGTGGAGAAGTGGAGCAGAATAGGATTTCTGCTGCCCCTCTAAAAATAATAATAATAATAATAATAATAATAATAATAATAATAATAATAATAATAATGATGATGATGATGATGATGATGATAATGATAAAATAATAATATCTACTTCTCCCAGGTGCTTGGGAAAGACTTGATAGGTGGATAAAATGCCAAATTCAGTCTAAGTATCCGGTCGACTGTGCAACCAACCATAATAAAACTGTGCTGAATTTGGTGATCTTAGCAGTATCACCAACTATATTCAGTGGTCCTAGCAGCATCACTAATTATATCCTGTATTATTGTGATTGCATGTGGATATTCAAATCAGCAGACACCTTTTTCTGTAAACGTGAATAATTTGGGGGGTATTTTTAAACCACAGTGAAATTGCTAGGTAGTAATGTCCATTGTATCAATTGATCAATTTATTGGGCAAAAGTCTTTATTTTCAGAATTGTTGCAGATGTTTGAACAGAGGCCTTTCCCTTAGTGTAAGAGGCATAGGCTACTCTATATACAGTAGTTAGGGAAGTTTCTTATAACCTGAAAATGGTATTCATTGCATCTCAAGATGCAAAATATAGTGGACCAACAGCTGATTAATAAAAGGTGTGTTTTGAAGTGCACTTTCTATTCAAACTTTAGATTCTCTTTTTATAAAAAAAAATTACAACAATCTTGACTTTTATCATATGGTGAAAATCAATTGCAGTATACATTCCTAGTTTAAAGCTCCTTTGTAAATCAATAAAGTAATAAAACTAGGATAGTTACTTGCTGCATGTTTATGGCAAGATGGTGGTTTGCTATGGGGATTTTTTAACAAAAATATTAATTAATTTAAAGAGTCTATGTTGAACCAAAAAATATATATGCTAGACTATGCGATATCACTATTACATATGCTCTGTTAATAGTCTTTCCAAACCTGGTATCTTCCAGAATTGCTAGCCAACATCCTAGCATGCTAGCCAATATGCTAGCCACTGGCACAGACAGAAAATTCTGGGAATACAGTAGTAGGCTTAGATTATGGAAAGCTTTTCAATACTCTTGCACCTGTGCCCTTTATGAACAAGTTAATTTCTAAACCCTCTTATTTTTCCTTAGTGTAAGGCTGCTGGTGATTAGCAAAAGGAAGGAGGAGTTGGAACAAGTCATACATTTGAACAAATATGCACAGCCCTTTACAATACCTTGGCTTCATTTGAAAGGAATGAATTATAGTTTTAGAAGAATTTACAAGAATTGCCAAGTATATAAGAGAAAAATACCTTGGTTGAAGGATCACGGAAAAGTAGGAGTGCATGAAGATATAACAGTTCATGAAACTGTATAGTTCGCATTCTGTTACAATACGGTTTTGATGCTCAGGTGAATTTGAAAGAACTTTAACCTAGTTCTTAAACAAACTTTTGCGTAAGTTTGGTACCCTATGAATGTGTTGCATTGCAGGTTCCCTAATTCCTATCCAAAGACCATGCATCAGAATTATGGGAACTGCATTTCAATGAATCAGAAGGGTACCAGTTGGGGAGGTTTTCTTACATCAAAAGATTTAAATATCTTAGAAACCCTATTTAGAGATTCTTTTCTTTTAAGATGAAGCTTATTAGAATTCCTCAGCTATGCAAATGCATTTTTGGACTTCTGAGAAGTGCTGTTAGTAAGATGCTGTTTCTAGGCTTAAGAACAGAGAACTAAGGTCCTAGTTTGACCACAGAGCTTTTCTGGCTTCCAGGATATCTCCTCATCCAAAACCAGCTATACTGTTAGAAACTGGAATAATATTTAAAGTGGCAAATGCAGAGGACGGTAACAACTTCTAGGGCAAACTGTTTTCCCAATCTGTTCCCCCTCTACAGGTATGGATTTCCACTGGTGGAATTTTCCGCAATGGCTGTGCTGGCTAGGAGTTTGGAGACCTGACATCTACACTCTGAAGGGCATTCAGGCTGAGGAAAATTATTCTAGACTGTTCCTCCAGAGTTTCTCTTGATTGCAGAGTAGTTCATAGGGCCTCCCCTGACCCTAAAATCTGCCTCTGGTGTGTGATGAGCGATACCCTAGCAACTACTAATTTAAGTAAGTTTTCGCCCAAGGAATAGAAATAGGACACCATTTTGTCCCTCTCTGGCAACAAAATGTCATGGACTTGTCAGTGTGAGCCACAGTCTGAGTCAAAGAGCCCTGTAAAGTCATTCTGCTACATCTTAATGAATGGTACTGCTGAGGAAAATCAGGCCTTTCGGGCTTTATGCGTAAGATGATAGCGATAAAATGCATATGGGTGTGGTGGTGGGGGAATAGTCTCTTACTGCACCTCTGTTGCTGCTCTTACTTGGAAATGGCTTGTAGTTTGTGAGCCCCTTGCTAGGGACTTGTGTGATGGGAATAGATACTGTGAAAATGCTTTCATTCCCTGTGCGAATCTGCCCTTAAATGTGAGGCAAAGCCTGATTTTGCCTTTTCTTTCAGAACGTATGTTCAACGCTAGGTTGACCACTGCAGCCTCTTTCTGGATGACCAATATTCAGCATTTATAACTCTGGGGAACATTATTTCAGATGACACAATGACATTTGTATAGTAGCTTTTTAAAAATGAATGCGATTTGACTTGTTTAGAGGGCATTCCTGAAAGATTTTTTTTTAAAATATAGCAAGCACTGTATATATGTGGTACTCTCAGCTTGATGCAAATGATTATTTTGGAGATCTTACCCAGAGTGTGAATTCCAATGAGGAAGTCCTTGGTTGTCTCTGAACTTGATTGTTTTCTTATAGAATAAGTGTTTCATTAGCCAAACTAGGTAACATCTAGCACTGATGATGTTACCTTGGTTGGTAATGAAACGTCTGCAAGAAAACAATCAAGCTCAGAGAGCACTAAGGACCCCTCATTTTAACCCTGAGCTACACACATTTTCTTCTTTATTGAAATTCCAATGAGTCTTATTTGGCTTTTATACTTGTGTAATAAACCCATGCATATTGACTCTGCCCCAGGTATTCTCACATGTTACAGCTTTGCCCTTTGAACCTCCTGATGTGGAAGAGGTTTTTTGCTCTCATGTACTGTAAAGTTTGCACTGTGTCAAGAGTGGTGCTTGCATTAAAAGAAACATGAACATTGCAACTTAACACAAGAAGTTGAAATTTGGGGAATGAAAAGATGGGGGTTGGCTTGTTAGAAATAGCCCCATCTCTTTCACTTACATTTTTTCTAGTCTAATTGGTGCATGAACAGAGTTTTCTCTAATTAATTTAAAAATTCATTTGAGTTAAATTTTAGAAAGCTGCTAGAGTTCCTGAAGAAGCCATGCATTGATCTGAAAAAAAAAATCAACATGTACAATCAGGCTATAAGTGTGTTAGAATCAAATAATCAGAGAATAGTAAAAAAAAAGTTTCAAATCCATCTAGAATTCATCAATAGGCTGGATGCTAAACAAAATGAAGAGTGGGTGAAGAATTAAAAATTAGCTTATATTTTCCTGTAGATTTCAAACAGTATTTCAAATTGCTGAAATAAAGAAAAGGAAAAAACCAATAGTTGATCTTTTATTTCTTTAAAATATGAACGAATGATTCACTAATGAGTGGACATGCACATAAATGTGTACTCTCGTTCATGTGCATGTGTATCTGAAATTAAATTCTATTACAAATGTTTATGAGATATCTCTTACTTGATGGACTCATTGTTTTAATCATACTCTGACTCATTCGCTAGATGCATCATTTTTCTCCTTCAAAATAT